ATGACGGCGCAAATACCCGAACGTCGTGCAGGACCCGCCTCTGGCCAAGTTCGGAACGACCCTTCCTCACACGTCAGCAGCTGAGGACGCCAAGCATCCACAATTTGCTTTCCGCAACCCAGTCAAAGCTACAAAGACCGATTTATTCACTGCTTCAAATACGCCTCTTTGTGAGTTTTGGTGCAGATTCCTGCTGTAGGAAAAGTGGCTGCCCGGTTGACGCCACGATATGGAGAGTTATTAGGCTCTGTCTGTCGGATCAGAAGCAGAACATACCCGCGACTCTGATGGCCACAATGACCGCCGGCGATGAACAGATCGACCGTTAGGTCGTCAGCCAGCAAGTCGTCGCAGTAAAATTTCTCCTTATCTCGCAGAAGTCAAGTTAGATCAGCTGACCTTCGTTACTACCAGAGGCGTACGATTCGGCTCTGATCCCTGTGGCACTGTGCGGACGCCAAAACTCACAGTCGCGCTCACACTGTACGTTGCTTTCCAAAAGCGGATCTTCTTCCCGTTGAAAAAGACAAAACCTGCCGGAGATCGCCATGGCGACCCGTTCGCAAGGTACATTGCAAGAAACATATGGAGTGAATGCGACATGCGAAAGCGCGTGGAGAAGTGAGCTCTGGGGCGTGTTTGAAGGCGTCCATGCATAGCTTTCAACGGCAGCGTCTCTCTGCTTGCCCTAAGTCAGAGGCAATGTACAGTGCGACAGGAGCTGTATTTGACGATTATGGGAGAGCTCAAGATTTATACATAACTTCAGGAGAACTGAGCTCGATACCAAATGCACAACAGCAGGTGCTCAAGTTGATCATTCGTCATCTTTATCCGCCCACTACAGTAGAAGCTACATACACTACACGCGCGTCGAAATGCACAGTGTGCACATTATGTCCCAGGGACAATTTTGAATACTGCCAGCATCTTGCATCTCGGTCATAGGAGGAGTCCAAATATCTGCAGTCCCGGAAATCACGATATCTGGGAAATGTCAGAAATCCTTGGCATCGGGCGAAGTGCCTCGCGACTCACAGCATAGCCTGTAGTGTGACTTCGTTTTTGATCTCGTCTGATGTTGCAGACACTGCATAGCAGTACAAGCAGGAGAAACAACGTGCCTGCTAGTCCTCCGATGATTCCAAGCTCGACCGGCGTCATTGCATGTATGTCATGA